TTTTTTTCTGTGTGCTCCTTTAATGCATTTGGGACCTTAACACTGAGTCTTCTGAAAACTGAACAAGGAGTCCTTATCCTGGCTTTGGGGGATACTGGAACCGTGGGAACTTTTGTGCAGCCTGGTGCGCGTTCTTAGCCCGAGGGGAGCAGGACTGACCAGGGTGGGTGGGTGCAGGGAGGCCAGGAGGCACAGCAATGCTGCGTTCCCCTTAGGCTGCCACGGGTCTGACTCCGCCCTGGCTCTGGCCGGACGTCCTTTGTGAGTTTGTGAAAGAGCAGCCACGGACTCATTCAGCCGTGAGCACAAAACCGGTACCTCGGAGTCGTGTTGACGGTCTCTGTCTGCAAGTCTGTAGATTTCTGTTTGTCAGGGGCTGATGTCACTGGCTCTAACTAGGCCGATTTACACAGTTCTCTCTGTACCCTCTCCTGTTACTTGTTACTTGTTTTCCTTTTCACGTTAATTTGCAAGCGTGGCTTTAAGTTTGTTTCTAAACCTCTCCAGGCAAATGTGGAAGCAAGGAGACCGCATCCTTAGGTCAACGAAATAAACGCTGTCCCGTAACGTTAAAAACTTCATAGTTCAGGTAATCAAGACAGATCAAGAATCGGCTAAAGCAGAGAGTCATAAAAATAAGGCCTAGGCTCGTCTTAGGTATTTCAGCTTCACACGTTTGAGCGCACATTAAGTCCCGTAACTTGTGCTTTGGGGCAGGAGGGGGGCGGGGAGGTGAGGGGCAGAGTCTGAATTCGGGTTTTGTTATTGCTGCTGTGACACAGATCTGCTGGTCAGGATTCTCAGTCACCGGGTTTGGGCATAAGCTCATGCCCAGGCTGAATCTTGTGTGGGTACGGGTTGGTTCCGAAAGGGGAATTAGGAATGTTCCACGGAAGCGATGGTATGAATGCAGGTTCCTTGTTTACATTTCCCCCTACAGTTTATAGTTACGTAAGGCGCAACTAATTCGCATCGGGGTTTGACTCTCCTTTTGACGATCCTTCCCCAGACCCTGAGTTTCGTTTTCACAGGACTGAGTACTCTCCTCTTTTACACAAAGGTTTCATTATTTTATGTAACACATAATTAAATTACGCAATCCAAATCACAAGTATGGCTGTG